TATTCGTGTCACTTAAAGAACTACTATAAGCAAGCTAATAGGACTAACAGCTAAAGAGAATTAGAAACACCCTTCTGTGTTCTAACTCATAGTGATGACAGAAAACATTCATACAGAAATGCAAAATTTTCTTAATTTATGAATTCCAGGGAATATAATATTAATGCAAGTACCCAAGTCTCCTCTATATGTATAGTAATATGATTACTGAAAAAGTAATGCTGCTTTCTGTGCAGAACAAGGCCAGAACCAGCTCATATGATAGCTGAAAAGACTCAAACCATTAATTAATCAATTGATTGACAAAAATGTTTTATACAGTTGATAAAAACACAATTATATAATTTATATGCTTATAACCTTTTGAAATTAAAACTGTATTTCTAAAAGTTAAAATATTTAAAAATACATTTAAAAGGCCTACCACTTTGTTGACCATCTCCATATCGCACAGATTGTCCACTAAAATTCGACATGCTTCTTCTTTCCCCCAATGAGCTGCAGCATGAAGAGGTGTCCAGCCATCATAATCTTTAATATTAACATCATAGCCTGCCTGTATTAAAAGTCTAAAGAAATTATAGTGAATTAGGTAATCATTAAAATCTAGAAAAGAGCAAACACAATCAAGAGCTTTACATCATGCAATGTCACAAAAATTTGCAATATATTTCTTTTCAGAGTTCAAATCCCTCCCCTCAATGAATTAACTAGGGCAAATAGAAAATAATTCTCAGAAAACACTAAAAAAAAAAAAAAAAAAAGAGGCTCTTGAATCACTCCCATAATAATGCAGTTTTAATTAATTCCTAATGACTCAGTCTTACGGTATGGTGTGACACTGATTACTCTTGTTAACAGGACTTACAAGTAAAATTTTCACAGAAAAGCCCATAATTTTTCAATGTAGGATCAAAAACTGACAAATCAATTTGTATGTGAAACTCATTTACTGCCAAGATTATCCTCAGGTGTCCACAAGATACATCATCTCAGGTTAAATGTCTCCTAAAAATATACTGGGATCAAACAAGCTTATTTTGTAATGTTTCTATTGCCTTGCAGTTGAGGAACTGGTTTGTGAAAGCTTTCATGAAACTGTCAGATGTACCATAGGAAAATTTCAAAGGAAAATGGCAATCTGTTAGGAAGAAAACAAAGCAAAACACATATTCCAAAGAGTTGGAGTCGAGTCTATTTTTCTGTAGCAGTAGAAAGCAGATACTCCAATCATCAACAAACTAGAAAACAGGAATACATTTTAATACAATGCAAAGAGTTGCATAAATTATGTTAGTATGCCCTTTTAATTGCATATTGATATCAATCTTCATTTTATTTAGAAATTAAGCTCACAGAGAGCAAAGAAAGGGTCTATAAACTGCAAATAGCATAGCCCCCTATCACAGGTGAATGAACACTAAATATAACCTGTGAAATCCAGTTGACCTTTACCTTGCTTTCCAAGATGTTGAGCTTGATAAGGGCTTCTTTTTTTACCTACAGAAGGTGATAGCGACAGCTAACATATAATCCCCCTTCATTTATTTATTTTTATGAACTAATCCTCTATTTCCTAACAATATCTAAAGTAGCTATTTCCAATCCTGGCTCCATAAGAAAACCATGTGAACGGCTTGTTTTTTTAAAAAACAATTCCCCAGCTCTACCCCAATACTACTGAATTGGCATACTGGGAATGGGCCCTGTCAATCTATATAATAAGTCCCTCATATGATTCTCATATCACTGCCTGTCATCTGTTTGCAGACCAACATTTAAGAGCCATGATCTAATAAAGAAAAGACTAACAGATATAAGTCCAAAGACTTAAGAAGTACCTCTGCTAACACATATCATCAGAAACTTTATTAATAGAGGCAGAAATAATACTGGAGTATAATAAAAAAAATCCCTGTTAGGAAATATGAACTATAATGTTAAATATCCTTAGCAACATAAAACTGTAAGTACTCGGGAGTCTGTGTGGAGAGGGAAGAGAGATTTAGGAAGGTAGATACATTTTTTCAACAAACATGATTCTTTGTGTATACCGGGCCCCATGAGGATACTTAAAAAAAATGCCTATGTAAAAAAAAAATGCTTATGTAAAAGGAGCTACTAATGGAGGAACAAAGTGAAACTAAAATCAACCCTCAGGGATAGATTCTGTCATGGAATTGCAATTGGAGTACAAAACTGAAAGGTATCAAAATCAAATTGAAAGGAGTTGAGAGTTTAGGGGAGAGGAGAAGTGGAGAGAAGGTTACATTTGAAACCTATCTCTCTTCTATTTATTTTTCATTTCATATATGTTTATTTATTTTCATAAGTAATATATCCACAAGTTTCAAAAAACAAAACAAAAAAAAGGATATATAGGGTTTACGGGGAAGTCACTCTCCCATTGCTGACCTTTAGCCAACTATCAATATTATAGTTTCCCCTCCTCTCAAGTAACCATACTATTAATTTTGATTGGATCCTTACAAAAAGATTTCATGCATATATAAGCAAATATAATTTTTAATTTTTTTAAAAGTAAATACAAATGATATATACTTCTATCCTTGATTTTGATACTTCAGAATACATCTTAGTATTCTTTCCATAATAATATGTAAGGAGTTTCTCATTCTTGTTTTAATTGTGGCACAGTATTCCAGTGAAAGGACACACCATAAGTTATTATACTATTTTCCTACTCCTATTACAAACAATGCTGTTAGCACATACTTCCTATGTGGGTAAGAGTATCTGTAAAAAAAATAATCCCAGAGGTAGAATTACTGAGCTAAAGGATAACCTCTACTTTGATAGAATTTGCTCAATTGTTATTTATACTTCCACTAGTAATGTAAGAGTGTCTTTTCCCCACACCTCGTCAACACAGTGTATGCCAAAAATGTTGTTCTTTGCCAATACGATAGATGAAAAAAGATAACTTGTTATAGTTTTTACTTGCACTTAATGAAGAATGAAGTTGAGCATTTATTTCATATGCTTAAGAGCCTTGAGCTGAGTCAAAGGATCAAACAGAATTTGTCTGTAAGTTGAAGAGACGGTGAATAAAGGCATCTGAACAGAAACAAGAGTGGGCATTAAGACATCATGACGCAACTTCGAGCAGATATTTAGGGATGGCATAATGCACGCTTGAAGAGCAACAGTGGCACTTTAACTTAAAAGAGTAGACGGTGGCCAGATGATGATGAATCTTATGTGCTAAGTTTAGGAGTTTAACATTTATCCTGATCCCCACTGAGAACCTTAATGAAGGATTTTGAGAGCTTGGATAATATAATTACAAAGAACACTTGGAAGCCATCCAGAAACCTATTTTATAATGTAATCCAGTCCTCATATATATGTTTATTAGGGACAAAAGTTTTAAGAAGCAATTCTTACCCTTACTATATGCAATACTTTTTGATATTTTCTACTCTTTAAAAAAGGATGCTGTTGGAAACTCACTAAGTTCACTTCATGATGTGTTTGAAAAGTTTTGTAATAGAAACAGATGGGGGACAAGAAAACTAATTAAAAGGCAATACTACTGTACTGTTCTTAGGAGAGGCTGAATAGAGATTGAAAAGAGGAGGAAACTTAGGAACAGGTGACCCATTATGCTTTGTTGTTTTTACTGATGAGAGGGAATAAGGAAGACAGATTGATATTAGAAGCCCAAGTAGACAAGAAGCAACATAGAGGGTGTAGTAGATTTTGCTGAGAGCCAGTTTTATTTCCTTCTATATACAGATAACAAAAGTTATGCACTGAATAATTTTTTTTAAATAATTGCCAACATTTTTGCATTGCATTAGTGTTACTCAGTTATAAGAAACGACAGTGACCTAGCTCCTCTTATATTTTCCTGGATTGAACTTGAGCCATTATCCGAAGTGAGGTATCACAAGACCGGAAGAATGGGCTCCACTTGTACTCACCATCAAATTGGTACTAACTGATGAACACTAGGGTGCTCACATGGCAGTAATATTTTCCAGGGATTAGTGGGGTGGGGGGGTAAACCCACAACTAAAGGACACGGTGAGCATTGCAGAGGGGAAGGGTATGCCTCTAACCCTTGCTTGGGTGAGGCAAAGACATAAAATGTAACCAAAATGTTTGTACCCTCATAATACACTGAAATAAAAATAAAAATAAAAATCACTGTGTTTTTACAGACAAAAAAGAAAAAATTATCATGACATAAAGAAGCTTTTTTTCCAATGAAATTTGCTGATCAACATCGAGCCCTACAGAGTTGAAGTTGCTTATGGCTTGATATTTAATATGCTAACAGCACTCTCAGTTCTAGTGTTCATGTAGTAAAAAGAAAACTGTATTGTAGACAAATTAAATGTAAATAAATATTCAGCAGGATCAAGTTCAGCATGATAAGTTTATACGACGTTATTCTTAGTCTCAGTCAATCTGGGACCCTCAAAATGACTCTGTAGTAAATTGTTAGTCCAAAAGGTAAACATATAATGGTTGACAGACACTTAAATCCAATTTACTGGAAAATTACAACTGAGAAAAACAACAGAACAATCAAATTTTGAGAGTAAAAGAACTTTAGAACAAAAACAATCACAGCCAAAGTAGTTTTCTCTTTTGTCCTGAAAACAGACATTAAAGAACTCTTTTATAAGTTGTTTCAAAATAATGTTTGCAGGCATTTTAAGAAAGGAAACAATGAAATAAAGAAAAAAAAGCAAAGTAGAAAAACAGCTCTATAAAAAACAATACTTACTTTAAAACTTCTGTATAGCCCTTAGCGGCTGCAACGTGAAGTGCTGTACCTCCAGATTTTGCGTGCCGGACATCACTGATATGACCACTATTTAGCCATTGCCTTGCATCTCTAAGCATTATCCGTTCTTCTTCCTTTCGAGCTGCTTCTATATCAACCCCTGATAAAATAAAAATAATTGTTTTTATTTTTGCTTAATAAAGAGTATCCTTTCTATGCTGGAAAATAAAATGATCTAAAACATTTCAAGTTTAAATGAAAATGAAAGGTTAAACCATATTTTTGAAAAATGAGCTGCTTATAACATGTTGGTTAAATAAATAAATGTGGGAATATTATAGACATTTTAGTAACTCTCTCTACTAATTATTTGGTTTTTGCCCCATGATGTTATTTTGGTTTTCTTTTTACTTTCTGATTATTCCTTTTCTTTTTTTAAATTTCAATATTTCCCAAGGTAGCATCCTTTGGGCTAAAAACATGTTTCTTAACAATTACATGCAAATAAATCTCAAATTTCTATCTACTGTTTTGACCAGTTCTATAAATTCTGGCCTTGTAGGTACAAATGTTTATTGAACACTTCGACTTGGAGGCCCTGTCTTCATCTAAAATTTATCAGACCTTTAAAAGATTATTTGTCTACCAAACTCCCTTTCCTTTTCCAATACAGCACATTTTTCATACCATTAGGATTGTTTTTATAATTTTAATAAGTTATATAGATTCATTTAAAAGCATTTATTAAATATTGCTAGGTTGAGGTGATAAAAGTGGGAAAAATATAACAATGAATAGGACGCTCTAGTTCCTACCTTCAAAGAGCTCGACATTTTGAAAAAAAATTAAAAGAAAAAAGATATTCCTGAAGTTCCTGAATGATCTCAAGTTGTCTTACGGCTTCAACTGTTGGCTATTTAATGAATAGCACATACCACAAGGCATTTATAACCTATTTTCCTCCAGAATACTATGAGCCTTTTTAAACTTTTATCCCCACTGTTTGGCAGAACACATGACACAAAGTAAAGGGCTCAGTAAACGTTTACTAAATGAATGATGAATGAATAAATGAATCAAAAACAACACACGCACACACACACGTATCTCCTTGGCTAAGATTTCTCCCATAATCCACATCCACGTGTCCAACTATTTGGTCAGGAGTTTTTCATACATCTAACCATCCTTCCATCTAATACGTATCAAGTGCTTACTATTTGTCAGGTACTGTGTTAGGTGCTATGGGTATAGAAGTGAACTTACATGGCATTAGATGATACATTTGTGAAGAAAAATAAAGCAGGGTAAAGGAAAAGGGGGCAATGAAAAGGGCCTGTTATTTTATATAGGTTGGTAAAGAATAGTTTCTTTTCTTTTCTTTAATGATACAATGACATTATAGCAAGAAATAAAGTGAGTGACAGCCACACTATTGAGAGAATTTTCTAGGCAGAGGGAAGTACCAGTAGGCTCTGAAATGAAAACCTGCTTGGACTGTTCTTCTATTTAGAAGACCAGGGTATCTACAGAGTAGTGAGGACAATGGGCAAGGTGACATAATCTGATTCAATTTAAGAGCATCACTTAAACTAAAAAATTAAGAGTAGAAATCAAGGTATCAACTTAGAGTCTACTGCAATAATCCAGGCGAGATGATGACGACTCGAACAAGGGTGGTAACAGTGAAGGTAGTAAAATGGTAGGATTCTGGATTCTTCAAGGCACACCAGCAGAATTTGCTGTTATTTTGAATGTAGAAAAAAAAGAGAAGTGAAGGACCAATCAGGGGTTTTTAGCCTCAGCAATTACAAAAATTAAATTTTCAGTTTCAGAAATGTGAAGTTTAAGATGCCTAATAAGACATCTAGTAAGAGATATCAAGTAATTAGTTGGATATCTGAGCCTGTAGAACAGAGACAACTAGGGAAACAATAAATCATATGCCATGAGCATATCAAACTCAATGCTAAAATCTTAACCTAGTTTTCCCTGATCAATCTGCTTGCTGTCTGCCTCGTATTTCCTATACTAAGTACCACCACTTACCCAGAAACCTGGGAGTCAGCTAAATTTCTCTCTTTATCTTACCCTCACACCATCTGTGATAGTTAATTTTAGGTGTCAACTTGACTGGATTGAGGATGCCTAGATGGGATGGTGAAGCATTGTTTCTGGCTATGTTTGTGAGGGTGCTTCCAGAGGAGACTGACATGGGAGTGAGTGGACTGGGAGAGGAAGACCTGTCCTCAATGTGGGCTTGTACCATTCCATCAGGGCCTGTATGGAACAAATGGGCACAAGAAGGAGAATTCCCTCTCTCTACTTTCTCCCTCCCTTTAGGAGCTGGAAGCCTTTTCTCCTCCTGCCTTTAGACATCAGACTCGAGTTTCTGGGGCTTCTGGACTCTGGGACTTGCACCAGTGGCCTCCCAGGGGGCTCTCAGGCCTGATTAGTGGCTGCACTGTCAGTTTCCCAGGTTCTAAGTCTTTGGACTTAGACGGATCCACAACACTGGCTTCTCTGATTCTCCAGCTTACAGATGGCCTATGGTGGGACTTCACTGTGATTATATGAGCCAATTCTGCCTAATAAATCCCCTTCTATATATCCTCCTGGTTCTGTCTCTCTGGCAAACCCTGACTAATACACTATCCTATTAGTTACCACATTTTCAGTTGCTACCTCTAGACTGTCTTCTAGATGGTCCCTATCACTATCTTAGTTCACACACCTTATGTCTCACACTTTGACTACGACTACTACTGACCCTTTAACTCATTCAGCCTCAGTTCCCCCTAATTCACTCTACTGTTTCTCTACATAAAATTTGTCAATGGCCGCTTACCTTCTATAAGACAAACCTCAAGCTCTTTAGTGTAGCAGACATAGCCTTTTATGTCTTGGTCTCACTGCATTTTAAACTTCATTTCTAGTCTTTTTTGTCTACCATCACCTAGCAGTGTTCTACCATTTAGATCTCCACATAGCTCCTGAAGTACATCATGGTCTGTGTTGTTGTGTAAGCTATTACACTCTACCTCGATTATACTCTTACTATGCCTGCTTAGCACATTACCAATTTTTTCAAGATGACTAAATGGTTCAATATGCAATTGAAGCTCAACTTCATATTTTTAAAACCCCAAGATTACACAAGTACAGGAAAAGTCATCTTCAAACTAGAGATTGTAGTATCTCATTACTACATTTTAAAGAAACTTGCAACAAGATTTTCCAAATAGACCTTACCAAAATAACAAATTATATGTACTATATATACAATAAACACAACCTATTATAATTTTTGTAAAAATAAAATGCCTCCATTTCTATAGTAAAGCAATTTTACATGTCTAAACACCAGGACCAGGCGCTTGGGCTCACACCTATAATCCCAGCACTTTGGGAGGTCAAGGCAAGAGGATCGCTTGATGGCAGGAATTTAAGACCAGCCTGGGCAACATAGTGAGACCTGGTCTCTGCAAAAAATAAGAAAATTAGCTGATGTGGTGGTATGTGCCTGTAGTCCTAGCTACCTGGGAGGCTGAAGCAGGAGGATCACTTGAATCCAGGAGTTCGAGGTTACAGTGAGCTATGAATGTGTCACTGCACTCCAGCTTGCGTGACATAGCGAGACACTATCTCAAAAACAAAAAAAACAAAGATAATCAGCCTACTTTATTTAAGATATGCCTTCTAATGTTATTTACAAAAAAATTACAAAGCTGTAATAACACATTAGGAATAATCTTTTTACTAAGTGATTTATCTTAGATATTATTTTCTTATGCTTTATTCTTTTACTATGTCTTTTAAAACACATACCTTTTTATTATCGTTAACCCTATCTTCACCATCTTAAACATTCTGACTTTTATTGTCTACTATTCTAAGTTTCCTTTGACTTTGAAATAAAAAAATACCTACTTCTTCTGTACTTATCTAATTTCATGCTATCTTTATCTAATTACAAAGCAATTACCCTCTTCAGCCTCATAATGTGCTCATATCTGATTTATATATAAAAACACAACAATCCAAGTTTAAAAGTTAAAGTATATGTGAGGGGAAAGTTCTTATTTTAAGAAAATTAAATTAGAAAAGAAAAACTCTCTTAAAACGCTTTTTTAGAATACTGTTGATTAGATTATAAAGGCCCTACTTAGTTCATCAAAACATTTTTTTGAGAAGCAACCCATTGTACTCTATGCTAGGAAACTTGTTTTCTAATTTCAGTGCTTCAACTAACTAGCTAGTGACTTTGAGAAAGCCATAGTGTCTTTGGATATTAGTGTGATACGTTAAGAACACAGATACTGAACCTAGATTTGCTCGGTTTGAATCCCTGATCTACCACTTACTAGCTGTACAACCTTGGTCAAGACACTTAATCTTTGCTGTTTCAGTTTATTCATTTGTAAGATAAGAGTAATGATAATACCCACCCCACAGGGATGTTCTGAAAATACATTAATATATGTAAAGCATTTAGATCAGGAGTAAGCACTAAGGTGCTAACTATCACGATCAGTTCTAAAAGTCTATGATTCTGCTTCTCTTTTCCTGCTTCATGGTCTAAGAAAATCTTAGAATGCACTTAATGGGTCCTTAAGTCACCCACTATAACTGCAAGGTTTTTAAACAACGAAAACAATAGATAATAAAACTAAATTGGATATGATATAATAAAGTGATTAGACTAACACTTGTCACTATGATTTAAAAACAGTTAAATATTCGATTGAAATGTAGCCAAATCTCTTAGGAAAGAAAAAATAAAATTAGATTGGAATTTGGTCAGCTAACAGCTTCAAAAATTGATTTGTGTCCCTAAATAAAGAAAATCATATTAAAATATAAATCAGAAATATTTTTAGCTACTGTTCAATCATTACTACTTTCAAAGGAAAATTACTTAAGCATAACTAGTTAGTGATCAAATATACTAGAATGAGAAATAAAAGCCAAAAAAATGTTTAAAGCATTTAAAAATATTAATAATGCTCATACCAAGATAATTTGAGAAAATTTATCATTATTAGATATACATTTAGTGTGCTTTTTTTATAATTATTAAAATCTTTTAGACATGCCCCTATACTTTTATTTCTTTGGAATTAAGTTATGCCATATAAATTTATACATTCCCATTATATGTATACAATGAACATTATAAAGTATTTTCTAGGGGACTTTTTAAAAACTACAGTATGGTTCAGTGGTACAGTGTATGGGCTCAAGATAACTGTCACACGGTTTAGGACAGAACTACAACACATACCTACCTGTACGACCTTGGGCAAATCACTAAGCCTCAATTTTCTCATCTGTCAAATGGGGGTAATAGTAGTATAAACCTCATAGAATTGCTGTGAGGATGAAATGAAAAAATGCATGTGAAGCCCTCTGCTCAATGCCTTGCGTATAATAAGCTACTATCATTACTACTATTATTAGTGTTTGCTCTTCAATTTTCATTTCCAGGGCCATCTCATCTACTAGTTCCTAGAATATCCCCTTATTACTGTTCTCCTAGATTTACATTTCACACCTTGACATCGCTTAAGTTACAACAGTGCACCAAACACTGCACTGTCATCTGGATGTCTGTTAGCTACCACAAAATCAGTATGTACTCATGTATTCCCTAAATCTGTTTCTATTTAGTTCTACATTTTCCCATATGAACTCATCTAAATGATCACTTCTTCAAATGGAAACTTTGGTGAGTAGGCTTCAATTCCTCCTTCATCTCCATATTCAATTCTTCATCGAACTATTCTAATTTTACCTCAACATTTCCTCAAGACAACCTGGTTCTTCTTCATCTCAAATGTAATCGGTTTTGGCTCTCATCTTTCACCTGGACTAAATTAAGAGTCTTCATCAAGGAATGCATGCCACCATGTACTGTACATTCTATCATCCTCCAAACTGCCACCAGCTTTATTACTAAAAGCCAAATTCAATCAGATTAATTTCCTGCTTGGGGATCTTTGTTGTATCTATCCAGTGCCTACGAAATAGATGTTCTTTACCAGGGGTCCCCAACCATTTTGGCACCAGGGACCGTTTTCATGGAAGACAATTTTTCCAAGGACTGGGGAGGGACAGAATGGTTTTGGGATGATTCAAGCACATTACATTTATTGTGCACTTTATTTCCATTATTATTACATTGCAATATATAATGAAATGTTAATAATTATACAACTCACCATAGATTGGGCACCCCTGATAGACCATCTATTCAGGTGTCACCTCCTACTAGTCCCATCTTGACTTTGTATCTCCATTTCAGTCCTCATGAATTCTCTGCATATGTTATATAGGTCTCCAATTCCTTTTCTTCACCCATGTTGATAATAACCCTCTCTTCTTTGCCAAACTCCCTCTAAATGTCATCACTCGGAAACCTTTCCTGACTACTGCATGCAATTCATCCCAGCTTTTTCTGTTCTCCCACAATATTCTGTGCCTATAAATTTTAGCATATAGCCCACTGTATTGTGCAGCTCACATTATGCTAGACTGTAAAATCCTTAAGAACAAAGATTGTGTTATTCTTTTATTGTTGTTGTTAATAGCCAGCACTCATGACATTTGCTGGCACATTAATCAATACTGAACAAATTATTATAATTAAAATCAGCCCTGTTTACAGTTATGCTACCAGTTTCCTTTATATACAAGGAGATCCAAGTTTTCAGTACAACTCCATACCTTTTCTAGTTCATAATAATTGAAAACTAATAGCAGACAAATAAATAGCAGTACAAAGAGATTTATGATAAGGAATTAGCATTGTGTGACAGCAAACTGTTGGCTATCTATCTGGATAGTCATCAGGGCAAAATGGGCAAATAAGTTAAAAAAGAAATCACTCTTCTTCCTAGGTTGTGATGCTTTGTATCTATTCTTTAGTTTCCTCAACTCTTGAAGATTCATGACTCTGAAATGCTTGTCTAGAACACGGCTGTTAAAAGCTCTTCTGTGTACTTATCCAGGCTCCAATTTATAACTACTTTCTAATGTATACCCTGTTTCTTCTAGGCTCTAGGTACCTTTAATCACTTTTTTAATGTCCCAATTTTATTTTAGGTATTTAAATATTTTCTTAGTTTTAGTACTTAAGATAATTAGCTTCTGTTCCTTTCTAATCCTTAGCTTCTATTTTCTGGTGAACCATACTTGATAAGGAGTCAATCCTCTAAACTAATATCTTGTACCTTTCCTCTATCATCTAACCTTAGTAAAGCACAGCTCTGATAATTACCTGTTTGATCACCATCTAAACATAATGGAATAAAACAGAAATCACACACAGTAATTTTTATGTATATACATTAATTTTTTTTAAATTGTAGTAAAATATACCTAACATAAAATTTACCATCTTTACCATGTTTAGGTGTACATTTCAGTAGTGTTAAGTCCATTCATATTGTTGTGCAAACAATCTCCATAACTCTTTTCATTTTGTAAAACCCATTAAACTACTACTACCACTGCCACTACCACTACCACTACTACTACTACTACTATGCATTCTCCTTTCCTCATAGCCCCTGGCAACCATCATTCTGTTTTCTCTATGAATTTGACTGTTCCAGGTATCTCATATAGGTGGAATCATACAGCATTTGTCTTTTGTCACTAGCTTATGTTACTTAGTATAATGTCCAAGTTTCAACTATGTTGAAGCATGTCAGATTTGCTTCCTTAAGGCTGAAAAATATTCTACTGTTATGTATATACCACATTTTGCTTATCCATTCATCCATCAACAAATACTTGGTTTGCTTTTCCCTTTGGCAATTTATGAATAATGCTGTTACAAACATGGATGTACAAAATATCTCTTTGAGAACTTGCTTTCCATTCTTTTGTGTATATTTCCAGAAGAGGAGTTGTTGGATCATATATATGTGTATATGTGTGTGTGTGTGTGTGTGTGTGTGTTTATGTATATATGCTTTAAGATATAATTCACATACCATTTAAAGTGTACAATTCAATGGTTTTTAGTAAATTTGCAGAGTTGTGTAAACCTCATCACAAACGATTTTAGAATATTCATCATACCTAAAAGAAACTCTGTACCTATTAGCAATCACTCCCCATCTATAAATTAACATCTTCCAAATTTGTATCTCCATCTTGCAGCTCTCTTCAGACTCACATATTCAACAGCTTGGATATCTAATAGGTAAAAGAAACTTAACGTCTGAAAATGAACCCCTGATCTTTCCCTATAAAACCTACTCTTCTCACAATCTTTAACATCTTGAATAGAAACTTTCACCCATCCAGTTGCTTAGACCAAAAATCTTAGAATCTTCCATGCCTTTCTCTTTTTTGCACACCCTACTACCACCACTCAGATCTAAACCACTTTACAGTGCCTGGAAACCCTTACTTCCATATAATTTTATGCCAGATCATGCTGCTTGTTATACTTCAACTTTAAAAATATTAAAAAGATACAGAGAATCACATATTTTTAAAAACAGAATAATAATACACATACTGTTTTGTAAGCTGACAGGTTTTTTTTTTTCATTCAAATTATGATCGTTCTTCAATAAATACTTTTACTGGAAAACTGAACTATCATATTCTTTCTAAAACAGTTTTAAACATTTTTTACATTTAGGTTGCTTTTTACATTACCTTGCCGATTAACCTCATTTTGAAGTAGCTCTTCCATTGCTTCCTCCTCAGCAATATCTAAAGGTGTGTCTCCTTCACTGTTGACAGCTCCTACATGTGCTCCCTGACCAATTAAAAACCTATAAAATCAAAGGAAAGACAGTTAAGCAAAGATAATATAACTGAAATAAAACTGAATGTATAACCAATGAGGAAAGTTTCTATGTAAGAGTAGCAGTAAAAACTAAGACTAGTATATGCATTATTTAAATTTTTTAAAAACTAACATAGAGCATATTTTTCTTTTGTAAATTTATATTTTCTAATTTTTCTATAATGTCCACATACTGCTTAACTAATACAAAAAATGTTAATTTTTAATAATAACTAGAAAGTCTTTCACAGAATCATTACATACTACACCTCCACTGAGACTTTTCATTATCTCCATATGGACTGGTTTCCCAACTGATGTCCATGCTCCTAGTCTCATTCCACAAGCAAGAGTTCTTAATCCGGGGTCCATGGGTAAAATTTAGAAGGTTCATAAAAAAATTCAATTAATACAGATATATTAAAATATTGTTTATGCTTATCATTATTTTGAAATTAGAGTAGTTATTAAACTCACCACTAGGTCTTGTTATTTAATGTACTACTAAAGAAGCAGATACATAATTATACCACAAATGTGTTTTTCTAATATTTTGATAAGTGAATTCCGATATAGTTGGATTCTGTGTACTTTGTATCTTATTTTATGCATCAAAAACATAATTCTAAGAAAGTATCCATAGGCTTCACCAAACCTGCTAACGGGATCCCACTACAAAAAGGTTATTAATCCCTTTCATCGTGTCAACTGCACATCTCCCAGAGTCATCTGTTTATCATTACCCATGTCAATTCCCAACTTAAAAAAATCTTTGAGTGGTTCCACTGTGCTACTAAAAAACATGTATGGCCCACAACGATTTGGCCTTACCTTCTTTTTCAGTTTCATTCCTCTTCCTTCCTATATCACACTTTAGGCTCCAACAATATATTACAGAACTACTTGTAGTTCTAGATTAAACCATCTTCTTTTAGTATCCCTGTTTTTACTTTTCCATATATAAGGAATGGGCCTTTTTCTTTATGTCCCTAGCCAATTTAACTCATTCATATATTTTTTTTACAGACTACATAAAAATATTCTTATTATAAAACAGTAAAAAAAAAAATTACAAATCCACAGAATGGGAAAAAGAATTCCTTCATATCTCTCCTTCTATTGTGTTCCTTCGCCAGAGATAATGATTATCAGTATGGCAAAAATCTTTCCAGTACCTTTGCTATGAATTTATATGTGTATATATAAACATATATACATAGTTACTTTTGGGGTTATCTTTGTAAAACAAATATTAATAAGATTATTCTAAATGGACTGTAATGCAACTCTTCCCTTCTAATAGCCGAAAAATATTCCATAGTATGACTGGATCACACTTTCATTTAATATCATCCTCTTAATGGACATACTCTTTTATAAATAGACACTTGATTTTATCAATCTTTAAAAATATCTCTCAACGTGACAGACTGGGCATGGTGGCTCATGACTGTAATCCTAGTACTTTGGGAGGCCAAGATTGGAGGATTGCTTGAGGCCAGAAGTTCGACACCAGCCTGAGTACCATAGCAAGACCTCGTCTCCACAAAAAATAGGAAAATTAGATGGGCATGGTGGCAAGTGCTGGCAGTCCCAGCTACTTGGGAGGCAGAGGCAGGAGGTTTGTTTAAGCCCAGGAGTTTCAGGTTGCAGTGAGCTACGGTTATACCACTGTACTCTAGCCTGGGCAACAGAGAGATACCCTGTCTCAAAAAATGTAATGGAGATAAAATACCTCGTCATTGCTTTAATTTGCATTTCCTGATTACACACAAGGCAAAAAAATATTTGGATATTTTTATTGGCATTTGTATTTCTCCTTTTGTGAACTGCTTGTTTACATCCTTTGCCTATATGTCTAATGTGTTCATTAATTCAACAAAAATAGAGTGTTTAGTAAGTATCTATTAATAGCACTATGTTACATGCCAGGAATACGATGGTAAGCAAAAAGAAGCAGAGACTTTCCCCTCAAAAAGCTTACAGTCTAGTAAAGGACAGATTGATCACACAAGTAAATGTGAAGCTGTGATAAGTCCTATAACAGAATTATGTGATGCCTTGGAATGACTAATAGGAAAAACTGATATTGTGAAGTCAGGAAAGGATCCTCTGATGAATATATAGGTACTAAAAAAAAAGGACAATGTGCCTTAGATAAGAGAGAACAAAAATCACCAAAGCCCTGTGACAGGAAGTGTGTATGAATAGATGTGGGCCCACTTCATTTTTCTGACAGCAACTGAAAGTATTGATAAATCTCTACACTTTTCTCTCTCTCTCTCTTTCTCTCTGTCTCCCCCCACCCCCACACACACACCCTTGCCTCTTTCTCTAACAGTGGTTATTGCTAAGAGGTAGGTTAGGAGAGATTTGTTTGTGGTTGGGGGGGTATATTTTGTAATCCAAGTTTTCTATTACAAGTTTGTTTTGTACGTGTTTGTCAGATCACAAAAATGGCTACCATATCATTTTGTAGCCTGATGTTTTTACATTTAATATGTTGTAAACATTTTCATGATCTTCATGGGACTTCTACAAACAGAGGTTGTACTTGAATTAAGGTAACTTTTCTGTTTTCATACTTTTAAAAAATGTAATACAAAATTAAACAGGAACATTTCCTTATATATTACAAATAAATAAAAGAGTCTGAAGCAGAAAAATAACGTAAGTAAGATAAGAAACTGTAATGTCCCCAGAGACTATGTAATTATTCTGCTAGGCAAAATCCCAATAAATAAAAATACTTCTATTCTTCTTAGGTATTAGAAATCATTCAAAGGATATAAAGACCGAGACTAAAAGAAATATCTCAGAGTAGCCATAGTGGTTGAAGCAGAGAGAGCTATATGGGAAGCAGAGTTTCAAGGAAATACCAAGTCAAAGCCAAATACAGACAATCTAAAATTTATATAAACAGGAAGGATGTTAAGGGAAACTAACAGAGTAAAGTTCCAAAACTGCTAGCAGGAAACAAGGCCTAGAGCAATCCTTGAGCCAAAAGTTTAGGTACATACGTATGTATGCATGCACGCATACAAAAACCTCTCCTGCACTCCAGAACTATCATTTGTAAATGTAAATATAAAAAAATACATACTTGAAGAAAAATAATAAAATCCCATGGCATTAATTCTTATCTACCAGGAAGAATCTCCAAAAGCCACTCTAAGGTTGGTGGGGTGAAGAAAAGCAGAAACTTTTAGGCTCTGCAGACTTTGGGTGCAGCTCCAACGTCTGCTTACTGACATCTATGTGACATTCATTAACTTTAACACTTGAAGCTTAATTTATAAAATAATGCACAGGGCAGTGTGAAGTTTAAATGAGTTAAAAATAAAATCAAAATGCTGTTATCACATCATGCAAAATCATCACAGAAAGCAATGTTTGGGCTGAGCTTGGTGGCTCATGCCTGTGATCCTAGCATTCTGGGAGGCTGAGGCGGGAGGAAGAGCAAGACCCAGTTTCCACTAAAAATAGAAAAATTTAGCTGGGCATGGTGGTGCGCTCCTGTAGTCCCAGCTACTTGGGATGCTGAAGCAGGAGGATCACTTGAGCCCAGGAGTTTGAGGTTGTTGTGAGCTAGGCTGACACCATGGCAGTCTAGCCAGGACAACAGAGCGAGACTCTGTCAAAACAAAAAAAAAAGAAAGAAAGCATGTTTGAGATAATGTGAAACAAAATACAGGCTACCTGGAGTATAAGAAGTTTACTTTGAGGGACGCTGGAGATACTGAAGACAGCTAGATTTCCTTCAGAACAACAAAAGCTGGGGTATTAGAAGCAACTTTGTGTTACTGCTAATTAGAAAAAATATGCCATACTCATATTAAGATTTCTTAGAAAGAAAAAAAACCAAACAGATTTCACATGAGTCCCAAATTGAAGGTCAGAATATTGGGATACTTTTCAGATGAACAACTTTATTGAATACTTCAGGGCAAAGAAAATCCATATTTTCCTAATGATGGTTAATGATTTCCTTAAGCAATACAAAAGTGGGCAACATTAAGAGATGCCACCTAGTGCAGGATGAAATTCTTAACAAACTGTACAAATGAACAATGGTAAACTGAAAAGTTTAACTGAGATTTATAATATTCTAGCAACTCTGATTTAATAAATAATTTTGGATAAACAAATGAATAAGCTTCAAAATTTTACAAAATTATCTGTATATGTGCTGACTATGAGATCTAACAAAAGGTATAATGTTAACAAAGCTACTGGTTGCAACTTGAATATGGTATATTACATAAGCAGATAGGATTCTATCTGTTTTAAATGAATTTGGAAGACAAATTTTGATAGTCTCTGTATCTTTTGAGTTTTGTCAAAAACCAAACCACAGAGGGATTATTTAAGAAAGTCAAATGGTTCATTTAAAAAATTTGATCTTTTAATAAAAACTCTTCAAATTAGAAACTAATGAGAACATAATGAACAAAGAAAGCAAATTTATTGGCAAGAGCTGAATTTATTTAGCTGAATGTATTTCTTCTCACTGCTTTCAAGACTTTTTTACAAATTTAATGTATATTTATTTTCTTATTTATTGTAAGAAAATTAGTATCACAAGTTATTTTAACCAATACATAATTTTTTAAAAATCAGAAAGTCAGCAAAATAGCATTGCAATAGTTATGTTTCTTGAAAATACAAATTAATTACTCAAAGCCATCTGTGGAAAAGAGAAACTATGAAAACTAAGCTACCTGAACTTTTCAAAGATGGGTTAAGTAGAATATTATACTATTAACTTCAGAAATAAATGCTATTTTCTTTTGCATTTTTCTGAGCAACAGAAATCACAAAATAGTGTAAATAGTCTCATGCATCTTTAGTCAGAATGTACTTTCCCATTTCGTTTTGGAAGTTCTACACCATAATGAAAAATAGTGGGTAAGGTTAAGAATCTAAACGAAAGTTCTTACCTGGGACCTTTGAAAGTCTTCTTAAAAATAACAGTTCTTGGACAGG